CAGTTTTCTAAGGGGTTATTGATCAAAATAGAGCCCTCCGCTCGAAAATTTCGTCCGTTTGGCTCTATCTTGAACCATTTAGGCGCCACAGAAAGTTTTTGTCGAAAATAAGCGTAAAAATGTACATCCCTGCATGCTTAGTCGAAGTGACAGGAAGTTGACAGGCCGGGGGCCCGTATCTTTGTGTACATTTTTGCGCATCCTGACTCGGGTGTCAGCGCCGCAGGCCTAGGTAGATGTATGCCAGGCGCGTCGCAGAGCAACAGTGTTTTGTAAGATATCGCGAAGCCTGTTACGCGAGACGTGGTCTGGCGTACATCTACTTAGTATTTACGTACGGGGGGTGGTAAATATATCCGGTTTTGACGACTAAAACTATGAATTTTTGGCTGAGCGATTAGCGAAGCCCATAACTCCACTGACCGGAAAAGTTTCATTCTGTTTGTTTGTCTGTATGTCTGTCCGCACGATAACTCGAGAAAGAATTGAGATAGTGACCTGGGATTTTCAGGGTCGTTTTGTATCATAAAAAGACAGATCGAGTTCTAAGACGACCATTCTAGCTCAAAAATTGGCTGTTTAAAAATCAAAAACTTCAGGTCACAACATGTATTTTTATTAAATATTTTTTTATGGGTTTCTAAGGTGTAACTCGTCAGAGTAGAGTTTTACGGGGGAAAATTTCGTCCGTTTGGCTCTATCTTGTACCGTTTGGGTGATAGGGTGCATTTCTTGACCAAAATGAGGTGAACATGATCAAATGGTCGATTAAGTCGTTAAAAAGACTTCATTTCGAAAAATTGTATATACACTCCTATTACCTCGTCTCGAGTGTCAGCGCCGGAGGCCTAGCTATATGTGCGCCAGGCGCGTCGCAGCGTAACAGTGTTTCGTGAGATATCGCGAAGCCTGTTACGGGAGAGTTTTGCTGAACTACAAAAATTTGTTTTTCTTTGTAAAAAGATGGGTAGACAGGTTCTGATGACCTTCTACCTCTTTCCATTGATAAACAAGGTAGATGTACGCCAGACCACGTCAAAAAATATTTTTAAAAAACGTCATTTTTGGGACTTGTTGTTTTTGATTTTTTTAAAATCCAATTTTTGAGCTAGAATGCTCATCTTCAAACTCGATCTGTCTTTTTATGATACAAAACGACCCTGAAAATCCCAGGTCGCTCGCCCAATTCGTTTTCGAGTTTTCGTGCGGACAGATACACAGACA